CAATAGTAGTTCCAGCAGGTGATGTTACATCATCCTTTAGCTGACCTGGATGCTTCCCAGTACTAGTAACCATAGATGCTGCTCCTAATACCTGCAAAGGGAAGCAAAGAATTGGCTATCCTCACAATTCGGAATTGAAGAAAAAATAAACCAAAGTGACGACACATTATGAACAGCCAGCAAATACAATATGAACTCTTGACGTTGAAAAGAAAGGGATTTTTTAAAATGTGTTTCGGATGTTCAAGCCACCAAAATCAATCCGAAGGCAGTTGAGAGTTAGAAACTATTTCAGTTCTTTAAAAACTTTTTCTTGTTGGTGAAGGTTTAAATTTTAAAAGTAAAGGGATTATCTAGACCTACATGGTTACAAATTGTGACAAATAGACATAAATACACGATGGTGTGATGATGTCACATGACTGGTTGAGTACTAAAACACCATGCAATGTAAGCAGACTTACAGTTTGAGATGCTAGACCCAGTGCAAGTTCTCGAGGTAGACCTGCAGCAACTCCTCCATCTGCCAAAGCCTCTATCGCCAAATATATATATGCAGGACCACTGCCACTGTATGTTTATAAAAGGTATCAATAAAACCAGAATCTATGACTTCATATCTAAAATTATTACAATTATTGGGATGAAAATGCATGATTAACAAACCTAGGAATCTCTTTGGAAGATACATTAAGAGTATATTTGAAAGAAAGATCTCTGATTGCAACAAGAGATAAGTAAAAGATATTCTGCAGTGGAGAATGAACAGCATCATTTTTTATTGCGACGCAAAGTCACATACCTAACGCCAGTAACTGCATCAAACAATTTTTCATCAGCTTTCCACGTCTTTCCTACTGATCCAAATAATTTAGCTATTAGGTCTCCATCTTGTTCTGTTGCACCTACTCCCAAGCTCAAAACTGTGTGACCAGAGGATTAGAGGCATGACCATTTTCATTCTACTCATACAAATTTGGCGTACCAAATTAAAAGCAATATGAAAATGAACAACGAAAAATGTAAATATGAGCGAGCGGAAAACTTCAAGATTAAAAGGTACGTAAGACTACCCGTAAGCAACAAAAAGTGTCAATTTTCCTTTTATTCCATACTAGCAACATGTCAATCAATCCAATGCACTACCACAAACAGCATTTCGCAAGTCTTGTCACCACTGTAACATGTCATACTAGCATGATCTAGGGTGGCCAGCTGTCATATTCCCAACTTTTATGCAAACTATTATGGAGAGAAAAAAAATAAACAGTACTTTTGTGTAATACACCAAATGCTGCTAGTTATTATTTCTATAGGCAGCAGAAGTATAACATGAAGTTTAGTAAATATTGCTTTAAAAATGGCTTCATAAAAGAATATTAGTTTTAAGAATCCTCCAAACCTATTAATTTACTTTTTTAACTGAAAATTTGCACGGAGCACCTCGTTGTAAGTTCACACCGAAAATATTCACTTAAGCAAATAACAATTTGGTTCACAACGTGAAAAACAGTGCCAAGCCAGTTTGCAGATACGTTAAAAATAATAGTATACCCGACATTATTCGTTTTTATTCTAAGTCAAGGAATAAACCATTGAAAGGATAACAGAAGTACCTGATGCTGCCTCACCAACAGCAGAAGGAGTGTTTGGCATTACCCTAATAAATCGGCTGTTACCAGCCCACTCCTAAGGTAGATAGAACGATTCCGTTAATACATTAAAAAAAAAAACTGAAGGTGTCTCAACCCTTGATTTTCAATAACATTAAGAACTCAAAAGTTATACATTAAAGTTTAAAAGAGAACTACATGCATGAAAGACCAAAAAAAGAATAAGAATATACTTGTACAGTGGTAGGAATCAAAGGACTTAGAGCATGGGGATCAACAAACAGGAAGAGATAGTGCGCACAAACTAGAGAAGCTATCACACTTAATCTTATGATTAACGTATAGAATAATAAAATTATTTATGTTAAACAAATTTGATGCTAAAAAGTCATTTCCAGGATTAGGCTTCCCTGGTATTAAGAGCATGCAGTCCAGTAACTATAGTTATTATCAAGAGATGCTGGTCAAAACAAAGTATACTGTGTTCCGGCAATCATAAAACTAGTAACCCAAATTACTGAAGCTGCCCAAGATTACTTTTCAAAAATAAAATGGTTAAGAAACTTAAATTTTTGTTACTATGTTGTCACAATTTTGAAGGGTGAGAACTGGCTAAATTTACCAGACCCTGAAATTCAAGAATGAATGCTCAGTGATAACATGCCTATATTGCTCATTCAGTTCATCAAATTGTTTGTTCTGTTATTAACTATCATTCCTTTTATCCTTTATATAGTGAACCAAACATTGAGGACTTCAAATTTCCCCTAAATAGTAAATATAATTCTACTTTCTTACGAAACTTGGTTAACAGTAATGTGCTTATTCATCAGACACTGCAAGGAAAACAAATGTGGAACAGAACAACAGATTTATTCATCTATTGCATTAGACAAAGAAAAGGGTGATGCTTGAAGCTGGAAAGAAATGCATTCTTTTATAATTGACTTTTACACAAGCAGAGCTAAAAATTAGCTAGAATTTGAAAAAAGAATTTACACATGTATATTAGACTGACGTTAGTTAAGCCCAGCCCTCTATCCTCCCTTTTACCTTCACAAAAGTTAATTCCCTACTCTCTGTCTACTCTCTGTCATTCTTTAGAGAAAGGCAAAAGAGAAGTGAAAGATGAAAAAGGGCTGCTCAGTGTGGAATGGTAAAGGAGTGGAACTAATTTTGTGGGAAGGGAAAAGGAGAGGCATGCAAATGTGGGTGGGCTAATGTGTAAAAAAAAAAAATTATACACGTAATTTTCTTCTTTGAAAACATATATAACCTGTTCACTCCAACTCTTACATACATTTACATAGCATTTTATTTCCTGTTGTCTTTTTCTGTTTGTGTCCCATGGCTACGTGAATCCTTTCTTTCTTATTAATAGTATTTCCATACAGATTCCTTAAAAAAAGAAAACATCTATGCAGTACTTAAGAGTAGAGTTTGTTTATATATATATAGCTTAGCACACACCAATATAAACTTTTCGCTCCACTGTGTACAATACTTAAATCAATTAACGCATGTAATATGTTCAGAACATAACCTTTTCGTACAAACTGAAAAGAACTCACTCAAAATGATAAACTGGAAGTTAGAGGTTCATGAATAAAATACAGTGTGTTTTGGCCAATCCATATAGACTATAGTCAATTTAGATAGTTGACCAAAAAAACAAATAGTCAATTTAGATCAAAAGCAAGAAGAGTTGTAACTGAGAGACCTGCAGATCTTTCAATTTGACTCCAGCAGCAATTGAAACTAGCAGCTTCTTTTTGGAAAGAAGTGGCCTCAACTGCAAAACTACATCTTTAACTGCACAAATGCAAAGGCACAACAACATCATTATCTGGTAAAGATCCACAAAATTACCATCTAGAAATTCATTCCCATATCTCTAAAATCAAGACCAATCATACAAGAAGCAAGAGCAAATGATAAATAAAATAAAAACCAATTATATTATATATATATATATATATAATATATATAAATACAATATACTTGAGAAATTGAGAGATAATGGAAAAGTGTAAATACCAACTTGAGGTTTGACAGAGAAAATGACGATATCACTCTCTTCCACCACCTGTAACCACCATAGAAGAAATGCAACTCAAATTCTTCAACACAAAAGATACAGACAGATATACAAAGAAGAAAAGGGAGAGAGGGCCAAACGTCGTCGTTTTTGAGGAGGAGCTCGACGCCGAAGGACTCGAACGCTTGGCGTCGAATGGGGTTAGCGTGGAACGTAGAGATGCGATTTGGAGGCAGAACGCCCGATCGGACGATCCCTCTGGCGATGCTCTCCGCCATTTTACCTGCTCCAATGAACCCTAGCTTGAACGTGTCCGTGGGGATGGGTAACGCCTCCATGGCCAAATGCGACGGCGTATCAGAGTCTGATTCAGTTTGTTTTTGTTTTCTCAAAGTGCCGCAGAAACAGAAGTGAGGGAGGAGGAGAAGTAGTCTCAGTCAGCAGCGCGGCAGTGATGCTTTTATTATGACTGGTTCGTTTGAATAAAATTCGGGTCATCTAACCCGAACAAAGGAATTAATGGGTCGGGTTGGATTGAATGAAACGTGCCAGACTACGACAAGCTTTGCATCCCTCCGATTTGAGGGGTAATGCTAGCAACTTTCCCTCTAACCTTTTCTTTTGGACATTCTCTTTTTATAAGAAAACCCTAATGTTGTAAGTATCTTTTTTCAAAATAGAGGTGATTTGTGTGTTAGATTGTTGTTGAGATTAAATGGTGTAACCATTTGTAACTTTAAAATTGTTTCTAATAAACAAAGACTAAACTCAAAGACTCAATTGCCTCAATTAAATTTATTATTAATTTTAATATACAAATTTATAAATAAACCCAATCCTAGACATGTATTTATAAAAAAACCCAAGCACTATTTAAACATAGAAACACACCCAAAATCAACCCCAAAGTCAACTTTTTGGGTGTGTTTATAAATGGGTTTTGAGTGTGTGTAATGATGAATTTTGGGTGTGTTTATAAAGTGTTTTGGGTGTTGGGTTTTTTTATAATTTCAACCTCCATTTTGAGTGTTTTAGTGAAACTCCCATTTTAATAAGGTTCCAGTTTATGATTGACATAGCCACTTTTTCATTGGTTAACATTAAAATAATGTACAAAAATTATTGATCCACATCTGAACAGTTTAAAATATGGAACCAACAAACTTTCAAGCCTAAAAATATCCTATACCCCAATTTGGCCACATGTACTCTCCAACATACACCTAACATAATCTGCTCCAGCCACAAACAAGATTGCCTGCCTAACATAATCTGTTCCAGCCAGCCACACACAAGTACGTGTTGGGAACATAAAAATCCCAAATTAAGAATTTGAAGCCTTGACTCACAATATATAAAATTTACGATTCATTGTCAAAGTTTTGAGATCAATAGTCTAATTTTAACATGATATCAGAGCAGAAGATCGAGAGTTATTTTAGTAAAATTTACACTGAGAGAATCGACTTTACTAAAGTAGAAACCGTTTATTTTACATAGCAGTCAAATGTACATTCATACACTGGAAGTAGAATCCACTTCAACACAATGCAGAAGCATCATACCATGAGCAACATGGTACAAATTGGCTGGAATGGCCAGTCTCCTGCATTCGGAGTAACATTCTGATGTCGTTGTCATAAGCATAACCAACCCTACTAGGGGTAATTTACTCATGGAAAGCCAAGTCATTGGCCCATCTCATGGCTACGCTTGGTAGTAGCAACAACCGCATTCATCATGCTTGCGCGAAATGCACCCTTCTCAAGCTCATGAATCCCAGCAATGGTGGTTCCTCCTGGTGAAGCAACTTGGTCTTTCAGCTGACCTGGATGTTTTCCTGTTTTCATTACCATGGCAGCTGCTCCGTAGAACTTCAGCAGAACAAGAGAGACAGAAGGGAAAAGATATAAATCAGAAGCCTAGAATTGTTCATAACATGAGGACCAGGTCCTAAAGAATATAATTGCCAGGCAAAAGCATGGCATATCATGAGCCTGCGTGAGGTTGTAAGTGTCTATAGAGCGAGAAGAAACTTGGAGGAGCATTCTATAAGAACATCTTATATTCCGTTGAAATTATGATCCTCCAAAATGTTTCGAAACAATATCTCAAAGTTCAATAAACTTCATTTCTTAAAAAATGATGTTCTGATCACTCAGATATTTGTGCATCTAAACCTATCAAATGCCTGCATTATTAACTCAAGAAAAAGAAGCTGGAAGTGGCTGAAGAATGAAACAGAAGCTATTCTTTACTAAAAGTCACTTTCTAAATAGACCGTGAAAAATCCGTACGTTTGTATAACCCCTCACTAGAATGTGTGTTCTGTGAATCCAAAGTAGAAGTCTGAGCTTTTTAGCTATCTCATTTAAGGCCTTGAATTGTTTTCAGAAGCATATATCCAGTACCCAGCATAGACAAATCTTGGAGAAAGATAATGGAGTGTCAAGATATATAAACGTTATAGCTTATAATACACCACTAGATTCTTCAGATATACATAACAGTTTCCACTTACAGCTTGAGCAGCAAGACTCAAAGCAATTTCTCGTGGTAAGCCTCCGGCTACACCTCCATCAGCCATAGCTTCTATTGCTATATATACAAATGCCGTACCAGCACCGCTGCAAAATTATCCAAACAAAAAGCCACTAACTTTGGTGAGCGGCTATTGATGCATGTCTCTACCCCTTCAATTATGCATTTTCTTTTTTGAAAATTGAAAGAGATGCGTATGCGAGAGGACACATCTATGGTGTTTAGTACTCCACAAAGTGCCAATAGAAATAAACAGAAGAGCAGTAACCAAATGTACCTCTAAATATTTGTTGACAGATGAATATATGTGCACACAGAATGATGTGTAAGTGCAAGAGCAGGTGCATTTCCAAACTCTAATGATATACATAAGCAGTAACCAGATACGTCCTAGTTTACAAGTGTGATTATGTTTTATCTTTTGATTTAGAACAAGAATGATACAGCAGCAGCAACAATATGCTACCCCAGTTTACATGAGTGATTATGTTTATCTCTGATGATAGCAAAGACATGTACGTACCCGACTGCAGCAGCAGCATCAGACAATTTCTCATCCATTTTCCACACCTTGCCAACTGCTCCAAATAGATCTGCTATTAGCTCTCCGTCGTTTTCTGTTGCAGCTTCTCCCAAGTGCATAACTGTTTAATTTAAGTACATTAGCTCTCCGTCGTTGTCAAACATAGGATTGGACTAGTTATCCTCTCCAATATAATGTAATCCAGTACAATCCAATCCTACCTCATAATCCAGTTCCCAAATATGTCCAAATGGCAGTGAAGTTAAATAATTCAGACGTAGAAAGCATTTCTTTCAGTATAATATGATAAATGTGAGAACAAGGAATTAGTTGTTACCTGTAGCTGCCTCACCAATGATAGAAGCAGTAGTGGGGACTACTCTAACAAATCGACCATGACCGACCCATTCCTGGATAGAAGCTTTGAACAAATAAGTATTAAAAATATGAAAGTTCAGAAACTTGACTGTAAATTAATAATCTTTGAAAACTTTTTCAAGCATATCACAGTAATGCTACCAACAGATAGCTTAAGGACACAGAGGAAAGAGTAGAAATGTTTGCATTGAAGTATCGTTTCTTCTGGTAATGGATAGAACATGAGAAAATTTGTAAGCAATCATGATTCTATCTAATTTGGCTTACTTTTCCATCTATGATGACCACCGCTTTTACTCACTAGATATTAGATTCATCCTTACCTTAGTAAAGATAAACCAAAATGACACTTCAAAACGAACATAATAGATTTGATAACTAAGGTATTTTTGGAATTGGTCAAGGAAACAGGACTTTCGAATTGTAACAGTACCAGTTCAAAAGAATAAATTGTAACAGTATAACAGATAACTGAAATCTTCCAGAGAGTATTCATGAACGACCTAATGAATAATGTTGAGCGTCTGCATAACTCCATAATAATGAATAATGTTTACTATCAAAGTGAAAATCAGCCTGTATCAAATGAAAAACAACTCTTAACCTTCATATCATAGATAAAATGCATATGTTTTCCAATATTAAGTTGCTAGAAGATATTCCATAAAACCTGTATAGCAATTGGCAAAGTAGACAGACCACATTGTGATTGATGATAACATCTACACAGAGTCAACTGGGAAGATGAATTTTAACCGGACAGAATTGTCTAAATATCGCAATATGCTCTGACCATGTCTTACAGTTGAGACTCAACGACCGGCTAAGAGTGAATCTAGAGTCAGAGGACATGAACCTAAGAAATCATCATTTTGTAATAAATTGGTTGAGAAGTTCCGTCATCATCCCTTAACATTATTGAGATTCTATTATTAAGCATTTATGCAACAAGTCGTCAATTTCATATAGCAGTCATCTATACAAACCTGCAGAGCTTGCAATTTATGTCCCACAGCAAGTGACAGAAGAAGTTTATTTTGTGAAAGTAGTGGCCGTAAGTCCAAGATTACTTCCTTAACTGCATATCCAACAATCCAGTTTATGATAAAAGAAGATAAAACTTCATAAGGATTATCAGTGATCAACAGAGCGTTAATAAGAATGCATGTCAAATTATTTCATATTCAAATATGGAGGGGAAAAGAAAACCAAGCGAAAGAAGGCGTACGTATTTGAGGTTTCACTGCGAAAATGATTACATCACACTCTTCAACTACCTGTCCATGATATTAATGGAAAAGAAAAGGAGAAAGGAAAAAGGGAACTATAAGAGAAGTATAATATCACGGAAGCAGTGCAAAAATTAATTAAATCCAAGTTTGTTAATATATGAGTAAATAATTTGTTTTGTCCAGCAATTGAAGAATAGGGGACTTCTTGTCTCTTGCAGCAATGTAGGAAAACATGACTGGATTTAGTACATTGAAACTACATATTCGCCTTCTTTTCCTTTCCAGCAAACAAATATATAGCAATATCACATTAATGAAAAATACAAACATTTGCAAATATTTGGACGCATAATCCATAAAACATATTCGTATAGCGAAAACTGCCACGCGAAACTATCTTCCTTTTCCATTAGAACTACTGTCTTGGTTTTTTTTTTTACTGTCCCTTTGTAATTTCTTTTCTGCAGTTCCCTTGTAATTGCTCTGGCTTTACAACCCATCTCCTAACTCTATTTGTTTTTCATTTGTGCAACATTCAGCAAATAACAACAAATAAAGGTTCAATTTTTATTGGGTAAATCAATGAATATATTGAAAATGAAAACAACGAACCAGCTACAACCAAACTCAATGAATATATTGAGAATGGGACAGCCCCAACCAAACTCAGCAAGAAGGGAGCACCAATTAACAACTAACACAAGAAACTGACAGCCTCACTGCCGAGGCCAACTGTCCATAATGGAAAAATTGCCTTATATATATGTTCCATGATATAAATGCATTGACTTTGACTATGACCATAAAGAGACATGTACCTGATGATTTTTCGGGAAAACCTTAATTCCCATGGATGTAAAATTCACCCTGCTTTCCGGGTTCCGGTGTGCCGTGAAAATTCTTGAAGCTGGTACTATACCCTGCTTGACCAATCCGGTTGCAACACTTGATGCCAAGTTACCAGCCCCAATGAACCCCAACTTGAAGGCTTCCTTGTCAATTGGGTTGACTTGTGCTAGTGGTGACACTTCCTCACCTGCCATTTGGTTGGCTCTGCACCCAAACTGAATGCTCCCTCAGCAGCACCTGATCAGATTAGGAAAAAGAAAGAGGTTGCTGTAGTTGTAGTGAGGTGTTGGTGTTTTTTGATTCAGAAGAAAGACTTCGGTGTCTCTGTCACGGTTATGATAGGCAAGGTTTTCTACAGAAGGAGACAAGGTTGGAAACTCGAGCCAAAAAGAAGACATCGTTGTGCACTTTGTAATTGCGAGGGGCAATCAGCGGCGGACCAGGAGTTTTTCAACGGATGTGCAATTTTAAAAACCTAAGAGATCAAAACAAAAAGAAACAAAAAAGAAAAAGAGAAGATAATTAAGCATCCTTATAATTTAAACAATACTAATGTTATTCATAATTAATTAAAATAATAACATTACAATTAATCTACAATTGTTGCCGACGAGCTTTTATATAATGAAAACGTCGCATTATATTTGCATTACTAATATAATTAACCTACAATTATTGTGACTTGCGATCGTTTTGGACTACCCGAATTATTTAAGGGAGGATGTGAAGTAGGCAGATTATTTGAAGGTTGATTTGAACTAGCTGGATTATTTGAAGGAGGGTTGGAACTAGCTGGATTATTTTAAGGAAGATTTGAATTACTCGGATTATTTGAAGGAGGATTTAAACTCTTTCTTTGAAAGTACCGTTCCATTACCGTACAATTAAAACAAAATAAGGGTTTTATATATATTACTATGACTAATTGACTATAATTTATCAATTAAATAAACAAATCAATATCAAATTATCAATTAAATAAACAAATAAAAATTAATTATACCTTGAATAGTGTGTCTAGTAGCCTCTTCCTTCTCGAGTTTGTTACTGATCTTACTAATAGCTAAATAAGAAAAAAAAAATTATTAAAAAAAAAATAAACAAAATAAACAAAATTGGCATTTGCTCAAGAAAAAAAAAATGCATTTGCCTTATTTTGGATTGGCATACTCAAGAAGAAGAAAAAACGAAGGATTCTTGTGATGCATACACAATTGAATAAATTGGTCCTTTATATAGAGAATTCCAATCCCAATTAAGTACGGAATAATATAAATTAAAAAGTCCAATAGAATGGCCCAGCAGCACAACAGTTTCCTTATATTTTTACCTTTTTTAAAAAAAAAAAACCTTGGTCCAAAACGACGTCGTTTTGGCCAGGCTGTGTTAAAAAAAAAAACCAAACGCACAGCGATGCAACTCTCCCAACCCAGGTGGTTTGGGCATTTCGTCGAACAGGTTCTGTGCATCTCATTTCTGAAGCAGATGTGCAATTCCAGCTGTGGTAATGGACTTTTCCGGCGACCGGAGGTGCAGGTGCACCTCCTTGCACCTGCACAGGTCCACCACTAGGGGCAATGATACTATATTGTGAATTATTTTATTCTTTTGTTTAGCTTTTTTTAAAATTAAAAAATTACAGTTTTTGTTATAAATTCATACGTTTTGGGTTTATAGGTTATGGATGCCCACAATAATAGCCACTATAACCTATCTAATACCCATCATTATATACTTGTAACCTACCAATTATGGTTGGTAAATGATTTAGGCCTCTCTGCCCCTATAAACAGTGGATCCAAATATGAATGGAATACAAGTTGATTTGAGCAAATTATACTGCCTCTTTCTTCTTCTTATCTCTCCTTACAAATTCCCTAGTTTCACAACACGTTATCTGTAACACCCCGACTCTGTTTAATTTCCAATGCGAATGGTAAAACTAAATTAAAATATGAAATTACGAAACTACCCTTGGGGTAGGGTCTTTCGGTCATTTTCTTGTCCGGAAGGATTTTGGGACCACAAGTGGTTTGGTTGCGTAGGTGGTTCTGAGATGAATTCGTGGACAGGCGGTAGGCTTGAATCGGAGTTATACCGAGGTTTTGGCGATGAAATTTCCTTCGGTGGCAAAACCGTAAATAACTCAAAAAGGGTTTTTGTCAAAATAAAATCAGATTTTCTTTTTTATTTTTCTTTCTCTCTCTCTCTCTCTCTCTCTCTCTCTCCCGCGCGAATTTCCTCCCTCCCGCGCGCACCCCCCTCCCCATC